AGCAGGAGAGGTAGGAACACGGCCAGCAAGGACAGCGTGTTTATAGAATGTTTTGTTGGCTGGCTGAGCAGCAGAAGGTCTTGGGATTAGAGGGCCCCGGGGCCCAGGGCTCAGAGTTGTTAGTGTGGCTATGGTTAGGTGTCTCTCTGCATCTCTGGTCCAGCACCTCCCCTTCCTCTAGGACCACAGGCATCTGGAGGGGTTTGCAGTCCTGTGCCGGGCTGCTGGGCCTGCTGAGTGTCCTGGCAAATGGGTTTCTGGCCAAGCAACATTGGACCCCCACCAGGGCCGCCCTTGGTCGGTTCCTCCTGCCCTTGCCTCTGGTTCACCTGTGGGACGTCACCAGGGTTGGGCTGTGCTACCTGCACCGCCATCCCTAGAGGATGTCTGGACAGGGAGAGCCCAGCCGCGTCCCCAGCTCCTCCTTGCCCTTGTGTGTAAAGCCAACATGCCCACAATGGAGATGATTAATGGCCTCACGGCACCACAGTGTTGTGCTTAGTCTATCCCCAAGCAGATAGATCTTCTTTTCGATAAAGTGAAAGCAGCCCTTTCCTAGGCTGTGGGTCCTGGCTGCTCCTCCCTCCCAGTTGGCAGTCCATGTCAGGAAACTCTGAAAGGTAAATGCATTGATAAGACTTCGGATGGGGGATGGCTGTATCTTCCGTGGCCCTTGTAAACAGTGTAAAGTCACCTTGATGTGCTATAGCAAGCCAAATGGAGTCTGGTGGTACTGAGCCAGTGAAGGGGCATTTGTCCCTACAGTGTGGAGGAGCAGCCAAGAGCCCTTGTCCCTCCACCTGGGTCTTTTCTATGTGGCGACACACATGCTCAGCTCTGTCACATAGCAGGTACAAGACCTCCTGAACTTTACTGCTTCTTCTGCAAGAAAGTACGGGATGGGTTGAATTGTGTCCCCCAAATGAAGTTGAAGATCTAATTCTTCCCAGTACTTGTGGATGTGACCTTATTTGGAGACAGGGTCTTTGCAGATGATCAAGTTAAGATGGAGTCACATGACTGGTGTCCATATGAAAAGGAGAAATTTAGACAGGAAGACAGACAAGCACACAGGGACAGTGCACTGTGAAATAGCATCTACAAGCCAAGAAATGTCAAAGATGGCCAGCAAGCTGGGAGGGGCCTGGAGCAGATTTCTCTCCTGACCTCAGAAGGAACCAATCCTGCTGACACTATGATCTTGGACTTCAAGCTTTCAGAACATGAGCCAAAACATTCCTACTGCTCTATGCCCCACCGTTTGGGGTACTTTATTATACAGCCCTTGCAAGCTAACACAGGGGAATAGTCATCCCCCCTGTCACTGTTTGGTGAGAATGTAACAGGAAGCCCATGGGAAGCACTCAATGCATAGCAGGTGTTGAGTAAGTCACTGAACCTTAAGGTCAGGAGGCTACCCAGACAGAAGGGGCAAAAAGGGAATAGAGCTGGACAGAGGCCTGGGAGGCTACAGGAAAGAAAAAGTGCGATGAGATGGTCAGCCCCCTTGGCTCCATAGAATAGACAGGCCTGATAAAGAGTTTAGTAGGAGCCACATACTGTGTCATTCTGTTTGTATGAAATGTCCAGACTAGCCAAATCCACCAAGACAAAAAGATTAGTAGGTGGCCAGAGCTTGGGGTCTCCAAAATGCTTATGTTGAAGATAAATGCATTTCTCTTATTTAAGCCACACAGCCTGTGGTTTTGTGTCAAGGTGGCTCTTGCAGACTACCATATGGAGAATTGGAGGGTGACTATGTAATGTGTCCGGGGACTTTTTGGGGGGTCCTGACAATGTTCTGGAACTAGATACTTGGTGAGTATCTTTGTGAGCACTGTGAATGTACTTACCACTAAACTATGTGCTTTCAAATGGTAAAGTTTATTCCTGGTGAAAATACATTGCACACCAAAAACAAAACAAAGTTCAGCAGGGAGAACCTGAGTATTTGGAATCCCCTTGAGGGAGGAGAGGGAGGGAGCTCAAATCTCAGGGAGCAAAGATAGGTTACTGGGGTTGCTATGGTGTTTAGACCACCTGTTTCAAAAGCCATGTTCTGGCAAACTGCTGAACAGGAGGCTCAGGGTGGGATTCTCAGCTACCCTGAGACCTTGGACATTCAGAGTGGGCACAGCATTTCTGGGGACAGGGATGAGACAGTGGAAGGAGGCGTGAGTTCATAATAGCCTGGCACCTTGGACTTACCTGCTGAAGCTCAAAGTCCACACTGTCTTCTCCCCCTGACTTCCTACCTCTGGCACTATTCACCATCAGCTATTTCCTCCCAGTGCTGCCTCTGACTTTCAGAAAAGAACCAAGGCATGATGAAGGGGCGTGGCACAAGGGGTCTGGGCCATCTGCCGAATGAGGTGCCTATCTGGAGCATTTATGAGGACACTGTGTGTGCCAGGCATGGTTCTAAGGATCCTCTTGGGTTGACTCCTTTTGTCCTCATGACAGCTTTAGAAAGTAGAAAACAGAATTTTCAGTTGCAGATGAAGAAAGTGAAGTACAGAGAATTAGGGGTCATCACCAGAGTTTCCCAATAGCTGATGGAAGATTTCAACCCAAGTAGGCTCTGGAGGGATCAGCTCGAGCATCCAGCATGAGTGGCCTGGGTGGCCTGGTCCTTCAAATTGCAGAGGTTTTAGGCCATGAAAGTGAAACTATGAAGAGCTTCCTGGAAACAAAGGGCTGTGTTTTCCCATGATGACAGCCAGCCCTTCCACAGAGCATTGTGCGATGCAGGAGGCACCCATGTTTGTCAGAGGCCCAGCAAACCCTGTGTGGCCTGGCTTAGAGGGAGTGATGCCGAGTCTGGGTTCCCTTGGGAGAGCTGAGACTAACACTGTGGAATGATTCAGAGTCCAGCTGAACCAAGGTCTACAGGGTTTTCTAAGCAGACACCTTCTCAACCTATGCACTAAGGGCTTGTTGCAGACGCAGTGGAATGCTTAAAGCTAGGACAGACTCCAGCTGGAGAGAGGAAGACCTACCTGGGACCTCTGCCTGAACCCAGTGAGGGCCGGTGAGAAGCCAGGTGGTTGCTGCTAGACCAAGTGAACAGGAAGCTGGAAATGAAGGAGCTGCATCAGAAGGAAGAGCATCTCCTCAGGAAGGGAGCCTGGTGGCAGGTGTGTGCCTGGCAGCCCAGCCCAGGCAGACCTGCTTCTACTTGGCTATCTGCCTTTCCAGCCATGGCACTCACTGACAACCCCATGTGTGCCCAGGCCAGGTTAGAGGGCAGTGCTTTGTGGCTACTGGTCATAGTGACCTGAAACCCAGAAGCATGGTGGTTCTCAGACAGAACTGAGGAGGACTCCTGCCTGGAGTCCTGCTCCTAACTCTCCACCTTTCTAGGGACACCCTCACAAAACAGCCCAAAAGAGTGACTCAAATGGTAGTCATCCTTAGGGGTCACTCATTCATTTCCTTTCATCCCTCCATCCATCCATTCAGTCAGTCCACAGTCAGGAAGGTCTTACTATATGTCAAGCATCACAGTACCCTGGCGACACAATGGCAAATAGGACCAACATGTGGTTTTTACCCGGGTGGAGCTTTTGTTCCAGTGACAGGCTACTGTGGGACTATTTGTGGTCCTATGTAGGAAACAGGCTTTTGACTTCACCAGCTTGGCTGGTATCCATCCTCAGAGTTCCTGTTATCCTGGAGGGTACTGGATTAGATCTAATAGGAAGAGGTGGACTCACTTCTTGTTCTTTTTTTTTTTTTTTTTTTTTGAAGATGGAGGTGTTTTAAGGATTCTAAAGGGTTTGTCCCTTCCATGTTAGCAAGGGGCTGGCCCATGGCCCTCTTTTTTTTTTTTTTGGAGGGGGGAAGGTTTGGGACAGGGTCTTGCTATAGAGTTCAGGCTGGCCTTGAACTCTCTCCTTGATCCTCCTGCTTCAGCCTCCCAAATGCTTGAGTTACAGACATGCACCACCATTCCCAGAAACCATAACCCCTCTTAAACAACATCTCACTGCGAATCCCACCTAAGTAAGCATGTACAAGTAACCCAGAAAATCAAGCCAGATGGCTCATGTGATCACACGAGGGTGTCCAGACATGATCAGTGCTCACCTGGCTCATTGTCTGGCAGCCATGCTGTTGTCCTTTCTCGTGGCTCTCCCATCTTCTGGAAACTTGGGCCCCTGGCTCAGCTCCCAGAGCTGGGCCAGCCTGACCATAGAAGGCTATCCCAACTGTGCAGAAACTGGAGCAGCTGATGTCTCTTAGAGACCAGTCAGTATCCCAAGAAGTGGAGCTCATTTTCCAAAAGAAGAAATCTTTTTAGAGAACTTAGCCTCCCAGGAAATCTTTCTGGAAAAAGCAGAGACACCAATACTCCAAAGCCTTTAAACCGCAAGCAGTTCCTTTGCTGGGATGGCCACTGGGCCTTTCGGGATCCCCTGCCTCACGGGCATGGCCAGCTGCACCCTTTGCCAGGGCCCTCACCTGCACCCTCCCCCCACCCTCCAGGAGCCTCTGCCTGTCCCCCAAGCCAGGAAAGCTCTGTTCCCTCCCTGCCTCCTGGTTTGGCAGGAGGAATGGAAACTTTCATGGAAAACTCCTGAGCTGACGAATGCTCCTAAGTCAGGACTTTGACTGGGTCCTGATGGGCCCCAGTCCCCGGATGGGATGGTGGGGAGGCTCTCCTTTCTGGGGTCAGGACCTCCCACCCGGCTCCTCCCCTTGTTGTGCTCCCTGCAGGCCATCACTCACCAGCTCTCCTGTGACCCAGTGAAGCCCTGCCATATAGGAGTCATTGTCTTTCACACTCCCCCTTGTTCTGGCCCTCCCCCCACCACCCCCATGATGTATGTACTCCCCACTTCCCCGTGCCTGTCGGTGGCTGTGGAGTCTGCACGGGACTTGGTGGGGTTGAAAGTCCACAGCTTTTTGTTTAAGACCTGGTTATGGTTGTGCGGGATTTTTTTTTTTTTTTGTCAGCTGCCTGTTATATCAATCACGGAGTCGGGATCTATTTATAGGTTGGGAGTACTGTGTCCTCAGTCACAAAGAGACACAGACAGGGGACTGTCAGCTGGTGCCGGAGGAGCTGAGCGACAAGTCCTCAGCCACTGGAAACACCTGAGTGACCAGTCCACGGCCGCCCATTCTCCAGCCAGCCCAGGCATGTGAGTCACCCAACACCTTCCCCTGATCTCCACCCAGGCTTCCCTGTGCCTCCTGTCCTTCTCCCTGCACTTCTCTCTCTTTCTATCTTTCTCTCTCTTTCTTTCTCTCTCTCTCTCTCTCTCTCTCTCTCTCTCTCTTCCTCTCTCTCGGATAAAAATATCTCCCCATGCCTGCTCTTTCATCCTGGTTTTCTACACACTAAAGCATCCCTGCGTGGCCAGGAGTAAAATGTTGCTTTTCTCTGACTGTCACGGGAAGGTCAGAGGGTCTCAGAATGGCTAGGCAGGACAGTTACACAAACTCATTTGGAATCAGTAGGTTCCCTTTTATTTTTATTTGTTTTTGCGGAGAAAAAGTAAGTAAATCAAAAGGGCAAGGGAAAGTTTACAGGCAGCTCAGCGGGGTGGTTAAGTCTCCCAGCGTGAAAACTTTTATTTGCTGCAGCTCTGGCATTTGGTTTGGCGAACTGGGGAAGGTGACGGAGGGGAGACCTGCTTCATAGGGACAGGTGATGATGAAGGGGTCCTGCCATATTTGAGGTCACCCTGGGAGCTTCCAGGGTCAGCGAGAGTTGCCACAGTCCCGATGGCCAGCTTGTCTACAGCACTTCAGAGAAAAATGACTTTTGTTCCCCTCCACGGAGCAAGTTTGCTTTGAGAAGTCAAGATGAGAGTGGCGATCTGTCTTGCCGCACAGGCTTGGGCTGGCTCATGCTTTGGGTGTATTTTCTTGATCCTGAAAGGGGAACTTGGTGGGGATGAAGTGTCAGGAAGGATGAAGCCAGGTGTGGGGAGCTGTTGAGAGCATCAGTCTGCATCCTTCACTGAGGGGGAAACTTAATATTATGATTCTCATCAAAGCCCTGCTTGTTTCAGACAATCTGACAGTGTGCTGGCTGCATGCAGGTTGGGTGGCTGGGAGATGGCCCTCCCCAGCCACTGTCCCATCCACAGGGCTTACCTGCCGCAAGACTCCCCTGGAAGCTCTGGGGCTTTAGCTTCTGGATAATAGATAGTGTTACTCAAAAATCCTGCACTTGAGGAGAGGATTTTATAGCATTTATGCAAAAGTAGTCTTCAATTTTGAAAAAAAATTACATGATGTTAATGTATGCTATGTACAACTTCTAAGATGTAGCTCATTCTTTTTATTACCAGTTTCTATTTACTACAGATGTTATGTTGCTGAGAATGGCATTTTGATTTTTTGGGTAGAGAATACCATAACAAAGAAACAATATTTCCAAAAATTTAAAAGCATTAAAGAAGGCAAATAAGTCTGAACTTTATTTGATTGCAAACAAAACTGGTTTATGGGCAAAATAGTTGATGAAAGCAAGTAAGATGAGTATATGTTAGAGGCAATTTGATCTTATTTTTATTTTGACTTTTATGAAACCTTAACTTTCACTTGGTTCTTTATTTTTGCCTGCATTTAATTTAGTTAATAATGTCTTTAATCCCATCATTCATTATTTTTGGGAGAGAGAGGGGATCGAGGAGGAATGAGAAATTAGAATGCAAGCTTCACGTGTTCACATAGTAAGACCACATTCATCAGTGGAGAAATCCAGAATAAGGAGTAAAGTGGGGGTCAGCGTCACTATTTAAGACCTAGTATGGAAAGTAAAGGCCAAGACATCCAGAAAGAAAAGGTTAACTGAATTATCCACGTAGAATGATTACTATTTTCCCTACTGCAAGGACTCTGTTTTGATAAATGCATCCTGCTAAGGTTTTCCCACAATAACCCTGGAGTGGGCTTTGGTGGGTTATTGTTAATTAAAGCTCACATGAGTCAATTGATTGAGATGTTGCACTAAGAAGTCGGAGCAGGCCACTGTTGGCAAAGCTGAACTGGCAGGACTTTCCCATCTCAGTGGCTTTTTAGAGACAGGGTGGCATTTTTTTAACCTTTCTGTGCAAGAGCAAATCCTTCCTTCCCTTCCCAACATGCACCCTGGGGCCTGGCTGGCCCTGCTCCTGATTAAATGCAGTGGGAGAGAGCAGCGCATTCCTGAGCAAGTCCTGTGCTCTCATTAGTGTTAACGTCCACAGAGAAGAATATTTGTGGGAACATTGGGGAAGAACTGGCCTTGCCTTGCTCTCCGTGGATGCTTCCAGGTGGGTTAAAGGCTTGTTTGGTGGTGTGATGGAGGCCCTGGCTTTCATCTTAAAGTTCAGGATGTGATTTCTCCCCACCGGGCTTTATAGAGATGCAGCTGTGAGAAACCAGCGCATTTGCATAAGGCGGCCTCTGATTACTTACTTTCTGCTTCAATAACGATTAATTTTATGTGGTCTAAGCGCCCATCAAACTCATTTTTTTCCATACTGATTTCTTAAATGCAATTGGTCATGGGGGGGGGGCGCTGTCTGTGACTTCCTGTCTAGAGAATCCAGCCCATTCCACGCTCTCTGTTGTTTATCTCTCTGGATGGAAGCAAGCAGTTGCCTGTGGGCATGCACTGTTGTTTCATGTGGCCTCCCTCCTCTAGCATGTGGGAATCCAGTCCTGACGTCCTCCCAAATTGGGGACAATGAGCAGGTGCTTTGGAATACAGCAACCTCAGGTGCAGGTCCATCAATCTCAAGGAAGAAGGAATTGCAAATACCTGGAAAGTGCTCCCCTAATCCAAACCGTTTCACATAGCTAAGGTCTCTCCAAACACCCCATAAATAAGAAAATAGCAACTGGCAGGAGTTTTAAACCAAAGACCATGGCACAGCTCTGTCTCCCATCACTGCACTCCTACAGTATATCTGTCCATCTTTTTCTTATCTCTATTTTTACATTTCATTATCCTCCCCCTCTCCCTCCTCCATTCCCTCCCCCTTCTCACCTTTCCTGAAAACACATTTCTATCTGGCACAGAAAATAAACTCAGATTGTGGGTAGTTATGTTAATCTAATTCAATCCTCAGCGGGTTAAGAGTGAAATTCTAATAGTGGAGCTGTTGAGGGCTTTTTTGTTAATGGCTTGGGGATTACATTGAGTTAAAGGCTCATTTCCTAATCAAACAGAGAGGGAGAGAGTGACTCCGAATATTTATGAGTCTCCCAGTGAGAGTTTAAACATTCAACTCCAAAAGCTGGGTTTCTTCAGGAGGAAAGAGTTAAAACCCCTCAGGGCTGCTGGGAAAAAAATTAAACCAGTTAAGCCATCAGCGTTTTCAGGCTGCTGTACAACTTTCCTGCTGGGCACAGTGGAAGAGCAAGTGGGGCTGGGGGGCAGAGGGGATGGAGTCACAGAGCGGGGATGGAGTCACAGAGCAGAAATGGAAACCGAACCCAGAGTGGGCTGAAGGAAGTCCCCCCACGCACCCCATAGCACACTGGTTCACCGAGGAGCTGGAGGGGCCGTGTGCCTTCAACTCCCCAAGTCAGTTCTCCTGCCCAACCTGGAGCTGAGGACACCCAGACAAGAGTATGACTCAGTTTCCAGCAGCCGCAGTCCCCCTTGTTGCCTGGTGGGGCTGAAGGAATGGAGCAGAGACTTCCTCTGTGAAAGGGAAAGAAAGGGTCGCCTCTTCCCCTTGCAAAGTCAGCTGGCATGTCTGCCCCCACTTGGACCTCTGCTCCATCCAGGTCTCTTGGTGCTTCTGCTCCACTGTCTTCCCAGGAGGACTTCCAAGCCCATCTGGCCCACTTGCTCAGGTGAAGGCAGGTGGAGGGATCCCTGATCATCAGCCAGAAAGCAACCCAAGCGACCCAGGCAACGTCATGCAAAGTTAAGGCCAAGCTGAGGTCCAGTCGCAGCTCAGGCGAGCCTTCTGACCTCTGTCGCTTCATTCTCTGGGGCACCACAGAAGAGAGAGGATGGTCAGAGCCACATGGCTGCTGAGACAGGCTTAGGTCCCCCGGAGGGAGGCTTCCTTCTCCAGCATTCTCTGAGGACACTGTCCTTTCCCGTGCCACCAGGTGAGAAGTTTTCCTTTTACTCAGGCTTTTTTGCCTGTTTGGGAGGTCAGCAGTGGCACGGGGCAGTGGTGTGCTCTCTGTAGGATCACTTGCTCTTTATTTCCCCAGTACCTGGGCACAGCAGCCTATGTGTCTTGCTCTTTCCGGTCAAGGTGTCTTTTTAACCACATCTACATCAGCCTTTCTGTCAAGTCTTCTCCCTCTTCTTAAGGTTTCATAGCCCTGGCTGATCTCTCTCTACTCTGCATGTTCCCCTGTGGGCTGATTGTTTCTGTGGCTCCCTCACTAGACCAGGAGCTCCCAAGCCCAGGGCCGACGCTTTACCCCTGTCCTGTCCAACCTAACACACTCCTGCGGACAGTATGGAGCTGTGGTTAAGAGCAGACAGCCAGGGTTCAAATCTTGGCAACACCCTTTCTCAGCAGTGAGATGAGAGCTACAGAGGCCCTCAAGGTCTTGCTCTTGCCCTCTACTGAGTGGAGATAACAATAGAAGCTGGCTCGTAGCTTGTTGGGAGGACTAAATGCACTAAAGTGCCCATCCTGTGCCCAGGTAGCGTGGGCACTTTTATGTGACCTACACAGAGCGCTTGCCTCTACACACCCCACAGACGGCTCCGAGCCTCCCCAGGGGCGGCTTCCCGTGAAGGGTGGGTCAGTCAGCACGACCTCCACTGAACTCTCAATGGACCACCCTCTAGGAGCAGAGCTCACAGTGGTTTTTAAACCACATGGGAGAACTGAGGACACAGCTGGGCTCCGGCAGCATCACTCAGAGTTTCGTCTGCTCTGTTGGCTCTGGCTCACATTCCAATGACCAGCTTGGTTCCTGGATCTCCAAGTCGCTCCTGCACCCCTCTGTACCTCGCATTCCCTGAGAGCAGCTTGAGCTGTACCTGCTGAGGAGGCCAGGCAGTCCAGTTGCATCTGTGGACAGTAGGTGACTGTTCTGCCCTCCTCTCTCTTACTGTGACTGCTTGACAGATGCATCCCTGAGCCAGTGGGCATCACCCTGTGTTCCTGCAAAAAATGTCCTCTCATGAGTAGTGCCCCGGGCCGGTGTCCCCCACTCTCCTGTG